GGACAGTGAGCAGCAGTGTCCATCCTGGGTTTGGGAGTTCTTCCTCACAGATACAGGACGGTCTTAGACTCTGAGCGGATCTAATCAAGAGGACTGTGGGATTGATCCAGGACACTCAACCTCCTACAACATTGATAGACATTTATCAACACTTATGGACAATGGTCAAACTCCTTCTGGACCAATACCATGTGTTCTATATTCTCTGGGTTTGAACCGTTTGATTCTCTGATCTGTGTTGGTGATTACAACAGTGAAATCCTCCGAGATAACTACTGCTGTGATTTGGGGCGATACAAGAATACATTGGATTGAATTGAATGAGTTTAGATGAATATATAACACCAGCCTGCCCAGGGGACACAGGTAGAGATCTCTGCTGTAGCCTGGTACAGTGCATCTCTCCTTTGTGTTCATGTTTAATGTACACTGTCCCTGCTTGAATAAAGTACATACCATTGGAGGTGGGTGATACACAACGTAAACAAAAATATTGTGAAAGTGAATTGTCTTTTTTTTTGTATTACAATTTTTTCTTACATATCTGCAATACATTTTAGGATCAGAGCCGGCGAGATGCTCATTTTTAAGATTTTGAATGTTAGTATATGTTTGTGAAGCACTTTACAAATAAAAAGCTGCTATTTTGATTGTCACTGTCCTGGAAAGCAAAACATTGCAGATCGAAATATTTATTTTTGCCCATATCGCCCACCCCTACCACACCATACCAATCTATATCCTGACCAGAACACCCTCACAACACACAATCCCTCTACACAACAGCAAGTATAACCATATCATAATATTAGCTTGAAAGTTCTGCAAAAAAGTCCATCTCTCACATATTTTAAGGAGATTGAGAAAGAATTCCAGCCAATCCTCGCTCGTGCCTTTTCAGATCTTTATCTCGTTGTTTATCTATGACAAAGTATACCCTGCCCCCGCATCTATCTGATGGAGGAAAACCCCCCAAACCCCCCTTTGATGAAGCTAAACGCCAAACATTATTGAGCCTAATGCAGTGGGAAAGTCTGCAAAGGGCTGGCGAACAAAACTGAAAAATCTAGAATACAGTAGTTATACCCTTTCATAAATGATTGTTATAATAAAATGGTGCCTTAATGGCTCCTTTACACTCCGCCTTTTTGCAAAACAATAAAATCCCATGTGCCTTTCCATGCGCCTCCTGCCAGGCACAACATTTCCGCACTTAAATACCACATGAGTCAGATTAAGCCGCTCCAGCCCCTCGGTCAGCAGCCTGCGTTTAGAGTCCACTTTGTTTCGGCTGTTTGTGTGAAACGTTAAATATCAGCCGGCTTCCAGGCTTCGCGGAAAATGTGTCGTTTCCGGAAAGTGACAAACGACGACGAGAATGAGATTGACTAACACACGTGACGTCACTATTCCCCAATTCAGAGTGTGACAGTCATGTGAACGCCACGCACAGTCTTTGTTTGGAAACGCCAAACACGCTCAATTAAAGAAGCAATATGTAAGATTTTCATGTCAAGTCATCATTAAAGAGCCCTAATCTGTCAAAGGGCATTCAAAAAACATGTTATTTTCCAATACTTTAACTGATAACAGTAGTCAGTGGCGTTCCAAGGGTACCCCGGGGCCCAAGGCAACAGACTCCTTGGGGACCCCAATGCAGACCACATAACCAGATTTTGTAATCCTACAAAATCAAATCTTTCATTTGGCTCTCGGTGTTTATAAAGTCTGTACAAAAACCGAGGGCCAAATGAAAGATTAGGCTCTTAGCTTTAATCTGCAAAAAACTGCTTGTTTTTACCTTTTACTGTTCTTGAGCAATCTGTCATAGAATAAAAAATATATATAGTTTAATAAAAAAAAAAACATCTCACCCGGAATCGAACTCAGATTGTTGCGGTGAAAGCGCACTTCTTTGTCTCCAGGCAGGGACTTTAACTGTTAATGAAGAACGTGGCAAGTTTTGCATAAGACGAGAATTTTTTATCCGCCAACTCGTCACTGTAGGTAGCTAATGTAGCCTTTACAAGTCGACCGCTTGTGTCAAATCAGTCGGCCCTCGGGGGTCCCCTGACGGTTTGGGGGCCCCAGGCAGCTGCCTGCCTTGCCTAATGGCAAGGGACGCCTCTGACAGTAGTTCAGAGATATTTGGAATTCAAAATGAGTTTTACAGCTCCTAAATCTTGCTATTGTTTATATTTCGATGTCCCGCCCTCCACCGTTTGACCAATCATAAAGTCTGTGATCCGGGCGCCATAACTCACCGCGTGGAGCTAATCTCACTGGTAAAGTACCATGTGCAGCATCTGTGTAAAAACAGACACAAGGAAGTGGCAGCAACACGAACGAGCTAATAACATCAGGAACCAGACGGCTGTACGGCTGGATTTATGCTCCGGACGCTCAGAAGGACCAGGGGCCGCTTCAGAAAGGGCTCTCTCTCTGCACAGGGCCTCTCTCCCTCTCTGCACAGGGTCTCTCTCTCTCTCTCTCTCTCTCTCTGTACAGGGCCTCTCTCTCTCTCTCTCTGTACAGGGTCTCTCTCTCTCTGTACAAGGCCTTTCTCTCTCTCTCTCTGTACAGCGTATCTCTCTCTCTCCACAGGGCCTCTCTCTCTCTGGTCAGTCACAGCCGACATGGAGAGCATGGACTTACAGATGTGACACAAATGTTATCATACATATTAATTATATAGCGCTCTTCATGACACTCAAAGACACTTCCCTGATCCTCCAGCTCTGGTCCTGACCCAGAGCATCAACATGTGGAGATGGGCCCCGGTGCTGGACCTCAGCCTCCACTGCTGCTGACAGAGGCCCCTGTGGCGCTCTGTATCCATTCACAGATTTAAACAAAACATGACTAGGAATAACTTATTTTCAATCAAACAAATAAGTCTAGTCTTTATTAACCCTTCAGGTCCCAAAGTAGCACACCTTCTGCACGCGCTCCAGAATCAAGTACACTTTCTATACAGCGACCTGGCTTCACACAAATGTTTCTTCAAACTTGCTTATATTTTTTCTTTTATACATTTCTGATATCGCTATGAAGAAAGCGTTTCAGGGATAAATCCTTTGGCTTTTATATCAAATTTCTGAAAAACTCAAACAAAAGGGTTAATAACAGTAACTAATCCAGCCGTTAAACTGTATACTTAATTATATATACAATTAAATCGATGGGTGCTTTAGAACGCACATATATTCAGTCATCAGCAGATCTTGAAGTAAAGCCAACAGACTTTTTTTCCCAAACCGTGTGATCTTTTAAAACAAGACATTAACAAAAGTCCTAATATTTTTAACAGCATTTACTACTTCCCTGTTTGTGCGTTAAAAAAACATTGCAACAGATAAACGAGCTGAAGTCCGTGATTAAGCGATTACTACACAAATGTATTGACTCTTGTTTGAGTTGTGCTGACTCAATAGAGCTCTGTGTCTTGGCAAAACAAAAAAAATACATTATTAAATGGATCAATGAACAAAACACTTCTGAGTCGCGTCTAAATACTGTCAGCAAAAACAACAAAGCGTGCGGAAGGTTCAGGAAGAGGCAAATGCAAGTCAAGCTCCATTCGTTTGTGAATCTGATGCAAATTCTGCTTTTGAAGAACCCAAATGAGGACACCAACTCTTGCCTCTCCTTCCCACACACACACACACACACACACACACACACACACACACACACACACACACACCACCAGGCTGTTTATGGAGGTAGTAAGGCAGCTATCTCCCCCCCCTCCACCCTCTCCCTCCCCACACCAGCCCCAGCAGAACAATGTGGAGCAGAGTAGAAAGATCAGAGGTCTTTTCCTGGACCAAAACCCCCACTCGCCCCTTCGCCCCCTCACACAAGCTCACATGGTTCAAATCAATGCCGCCACTAGAACTGTTTAGTGGGCCGGCTCGATAAATGCCATCAAGCCTCTGAGATCTCTCGCTTTGAACCCAATAGTAAGTGAGGAGAGGTGCATTGTGAACTTTGTAGTAAGTGCCAAAAAATGTCAACTATTCCTCGGCTGTAATGTGAAAATCAGGAGGAAATTGGCCCTTAAGAGCCTCTAGAAGTTCCTGCCTTTTTTACGCTCCCTGGGCTGCAAAAGACAACAGTGCTATTTTCTTTCTGAAGAGCCTGGCTGTAGCTTTGTGCACGGCTGCTCCCTTTGAGGTGAAGAATGTTGCCGCAATAAACCGCTTCTATTGCAGCAATACTGTATCTGAGTGGTTGGAGATAACCCTCATTCCACACGTGGCTTTGTCAAAGAAAAACAACAATCTCCCAGACGCTTAAGCTGATATTTTTAGAATGGCTGCCATCACTGAGCCAATATCTCACTTCACCAGTAAATACATGAACACTAGAGAGGCTACAGTAACAACAACACGAACAGGACAGATTTACATTAGGGGAAGCCTTTTTGTTCATATTTTGTACTTCAAAGCCACAAGTCTGCACTACTGGCCTGAGAGTGCACCCAGCCAGATTATCAAAGGACCCAGAGGGATAACGCTGGCAGAGTAGTATGATCTGATTAAGCTTGGCATGGCTTGCGAAAGAACTAAGTGCATATTGCAGGGTACTGTTAACGTGGCCTGGTTCGGATGGATGAGAGTCTGCAAAGAAAATAAATAAAAACGCAGAAGCTCTCCACATTATTCTGAGGCAGAGCAGAAAGTGGGTCAAGTATTTATAATGCAGTTAGGAAAGCCAGGGAATATGAGCCACACTAAACACATAGTCACGTATTAGAGCGAGTTGAAATCGCGTGATCATGAGGTGAGATGGAGTTGGGGGAAACCACAGAGGGCACCTACAGTGATTGGAGCCGTTCCAGTGTTGGTTCCTGATGGACGTGCTGTAGGGATGTGGCGCCCCGGGTACCAGCCCTTTCTCCGGGATCAAACATCCTCTGCTCTGGTTGTAATAATCCATCATTAAGAAAGGGTTCGGGCTGGGGTTCAGTCCCACCACGTCCACGCTCTCATACATCATACGCGGCGGCGGGACAGCGAGGGGGTGACGTTGAAAAGACGAAGCAGCGACACAAAACCACACAGACGGACGAAGCGCTTGGCTCGCAGCTCCTGAACTGCATCAAAATGTGGACAGAAGTAGTACATCCAAACGCAGCGAGGACACGGAGGGCTCTGGCATCTCCTCTGCTCCTGGGATGTTGATAGAAACCAGCACGAAGCCTCAGCCGCGTGTGCGTAAAGAGACGAGAAATGTCTTTGGAAAAACAGTCTGCATGGTTCCCAACGAGCTCCGCGCTTGAAATCAACTTTACACTGTCCCACTCTGAGGCCGTATCCACGACTAGGAACAAGTAGAATCCCAAATAAACACTGCCCCGGGTCTGTATCTCGAAGTGAGCGAGAGGATTCCCCGTGCTCTCTGTGCTACGGGCGCACTTGTCTGGCTTGTCCCGAGCGCGTCCGCCTGCCGTGGCTCTATACGCACTCCGCTCTCCCTCCCGTGGCCCCTGACGTCCTCTCGGTACCGGACCAGTCCTTCCGTGACCCCCCGGGAGCGCGCAGATGTCCAGCCGCTGCCGTGTTTGTGTTCTGGACGGGAGCCCAAATTATTCCCAACGCCAAATCGTGCGCATATCATGTTCTGCGCGAATGTGACAAGGCGCAGCAGCTGAGCGCGCCCTGGCTCCTCCCCCTCTCTCTGCCTCTCTCCCCTCTCTCCCCTCACCCCCCCTGGACTCTTCCCATGCATGTGCCCGCCCACTCTTAACCCCTTCAGGGACGTCACGGGTAAAAGTCATTCAGAAAAGCAGCAGATCTGTATAGAGCAGGATTTGGGCACGTTATAAACAGATCAGTAATGAGACTTTGCCAATGTCTGACAGACGCAGCAGTTTGAGCTGTTTCATGGAAGATCCCAGAGCAGAGCAGGGGTCTCACTCTGTTTGGGCTCCTCCTCCTCACTGATGAGACCCTCTCCCCCATTCTGCCTGCAGACTAGCCCCTGATTTTCCTCTCCCCCAGCCCAATGTCTCCCTCATTTGCCTAATGCTATGCAACTGAACTTTTCTTGAACTCAGGGGAAGTAGGCAGCCTCACCTTCTAATGACCCACCGGCTGACTCGGGTTTGCTCCTCTGGCTCGCCCTCATCCCACATTATTCAAAGTTCCCCCACTTCTAGCAAAGACATTATGGACAATAGTGGCGTTCCTGGAGATGTGACAAACCAGAAGCGAGGCCCACACTGCCCAGAGGCCGGACAAACGTCTCAAAACAGCAGGGAGAACATGGAGAATTCAATTCAATCCAATGTATTCTTGTATCGCCCTAAATCACAGCAGTATTTATCTCAGAGGACTTTACAAAACAGTTGAATTCACCAACACCGATCAGAGAATCAAAAGGAGATGCAATATAGAAAACACATAGAGCCACTGGTCCATAAGGGGCAGGGACACTAAACAAATTGGATATATCTTGGACAATATAAATGTAGACTATAAGTACCAGAAAACGTCCGCACACATTTTATCAATATTATTGCGTTATCGGAGTAGGAAACACTTGAAATCGCCTTCTTCTATTGTGTCAAATAAGCTTGATGTTGTTTTCCACGGCTTTAATATTTAACAGATTTTTTGTTTTACACAGGTATTACAGAGTTTTACAGAGGTACAGAGAGGTGTCAAAAAAAGAAAACAAGCCCCATGAGTCCCCAGTGATGATCCCATAATGATATAAAGGCTACATATCTCTGGCTGAGCAGTAATTATAGTTTCTTCACAGGTTAAAGGCTGAATTTGTGCTTTTATATTTGAAAAAAAAAAATGGAGATGACTCTGCACAGCTCTTGCTCCCAAGAGATTTTAATTCTGACCACACAATGTGACGTTTCGGGTCACTACCCTTCATCAGACATGAAGTAAAGCAGGCTAAACACCAGTATATATACACAGTGATGACAAGTCACATGACACACAAAATGTCATCAAAAATGTTATCAAAAGATGTAATCAATGAGATGTGATGCCAAGATACCACAGCATAAATATATACACACATTTTCGCATAAGTATCTATGAATATATTTACATTTGGAAGGTACAAAAATGAGGATAGGCCATACGTTTGTGTTTGGAATGTAGACCTTAAAGTTAAGCCACATACTGTATACTGTAGCTGAGGTGCCTATTTAGGACTCACAGGAAGATCTAAAAAAGAAAAAAGTGTCAGGTCAAAATCTTCATTCAGATCTTCACGCTTTTATATTTGGGCCAAACTGTCACTCAAACGTATTGTAACATTTACATCATTCATGAGACAGACACAACAGGTCCGACAGCTCCACGGTTCTCACACGGCTGCCTGGATTATTAAACCCAATCATTGCATGAACCAAACGGAATCACAACACTCATGCAGCATTGTTACAACTTGTTCTGCAAACGTGGACACCGGCAGAGTGGACACCATGGAGGAATTACTGAATATCATCCGGAGGTAACACCAGCCGGGGCCACTGCAGGAAATGTCCCCACAGACCTCAGTGTTAACACAAACGGCTGGTCCTCAGTTGACGGGGAACTCACAGCTTTCACAAAGATCGAGTTCAGTTGGATTTTGAGTGTTCCTCGTCATCCTGAACTCTTTGGCTTTTTGAAATGTCTAATCTGTTGTTGCTGTTGTCTCATTCTGAAAACCATAACATTCAGGCCTCCGTGATCAGACCAGACGCCCACGAGCACAGGCCCTGATGACACCTTGAGCTCATGGGCTTTTTGAACCAATGCAAAGAGTGAGCCAGAGGCATATTGTTCTAGACCTGCATTCAAAGGCAGCTTAAAGGGGCGGCGTCTGTAGATATCGTGCTGTGTTCAAAAACCAGAGAAAACTGTTTATCAGGAAATACTTAAATAAAAGGTATGTACACAGACAGTGCCAGAGCCAAACCTGGTCAGTCATGAAAGTCAAACTTGCGGATCACAGCGCTGCCACCGAAACAAAGTCATGTGATACGTCAAAAGCTGCACCCACGTCCGGACTGATCCCTCCCGCTCCAGTCAAAGCTGCTGCGATTGGACTAATCCAGGCAATATGTTAGAAATGTCAGAGTTCGATGTCGACGTGTCGACTAAACGCATTCATTATTTGAGATTGAATGTGCTCTTTTCCCCTCAATCATGTTTTGCCTCCGTGTCAGTGCAGAAACCATCAAACTATCAAACCATGAAAGGACCCCTGACTGTGGACTGTATGCAGATGCGGCCCCTGGTACCTGCTCACAGGCCTGAGCAGCACTGTTTTTGGGGGGGATTATCAGCGGGAGGTCTGCCCCCCCTCCCCCCCCTCCCCCTCTCTCCCCCCTCTCCTCCCTCCTCTCTCCTCCTCTCTCTGTGAGTCTTATTTAATGCAGAGCTGGTGTGTTTACGGGGCCTGATAAGAGCCCAGCGTGCGGCCCTCAGCCCTCCTCTGCTCTGATAGTGCTCCACACATTCTTTGACAGGATTAACACTAAAGTAATGGATGTCAGAAGAAGGGTTTGTTCTGTGTCTGGTCCTGAAAGTGATGCATGGAAGATAACACACTACACTACACAGAGGGCGGGGCCTCTCAGCAGGACCCCACTCTGCTCTCATTTACACAGAAACACAACAATCACAAATACAGCAACATTTCTACTGAATACATGGTGCTTTTAAATAGGAGACAATTAGGCTGAAAGAAGAAAGCTTATAACTGTACGATGTTGTATAAAATATTATATTACGCACAAACAAGGCTGCACTTTTAATCTAAAATAGAGCTGCATAACATTGGAAATAAGTATGTGATAGTGGTCCATAATTATTATAGACAACACTGAGAAATCTACACCCAATAATGAAAGTAAGAGTGATTGTCATTTGTGTGGCGGTCATTTAGAACACAGCTGCAGCTCTGGTTGTGGAGAAGACCGCTGAGGAGAAGACCTTCAAGGGGGATTTCAAAGAGTTTTATGGGTCCGTGCGGAGAGGAGATTGCTGGCTGGACCTTGAGGGTGTCAAACTATTTTTACTGCCTCACTCTTCTTCTTTCTTCAGCCCAATCAGAGTGTTAGGAAGCAGTAAAATGTGCCCCCAATCACCTCTCACTTGCTATTACTCCTCGGAGGAGATGAGCCGACAGGTTAGAGCCAACAATGGACTGTTATGTCATTGGCCTTTAGTGGTCCATACAAAGAGGTCTGTACAGAGCCCAGCACATCTACAGCACATCCACGGCACAGCCACGGCACACAGCCACGGCATATCCACGGCACATCCACGGCACAGCCACGGCACAGCCACGGCACAGCCACGGCACAGCCACGGCATAGCCACGGCACACAGCCACGGCATATCCACGGCACAGCCACGGCACACAGCGACGGCACAGCCACGGTACACAGCCACGGCACAGCCACACTCAACTAATTAGTGGAGTATTTGGAGTCGGTCCACTAACATCTGCAATCATCTGTCCCTGGACTCCTCTGTTCTGCACCAGGGATCATTTTCCCCTCTCCACGTCAAGAAACACTTCCTGTACAATACACACTTTATTGGAGCAGACGGTCAAATCAAAACACCAAAATCAAAACGTTCTAAAGTCATGGAAAAGTCGGCTCAGGTTTGGTTAACCCTGAGCCAGAGCTGAGCACAAGGGAAACACAGCATCGGCGCGACGACACTTGACTTGTGTAAACTCTATCTCCCTGACAAGATAAAGGTGGACATGTTTGAGTTAGAGTGGTCTGGCTCTAATTTTAGAGTTCCTGTGTGCGTCGGACAGTCCACAAACACAGACTACTCATGCTTACACCTCCCCCCGGCTGTGCCGCACATGTGCCAGCAGATGGCTAATGCCCGGCCGTAAAGAAGTTAGGACAAGCCGCGGCAAAGCTTGTGAACTGAACTCGACTGTATTTTCACATTGACCTAATAAAGCACAGAGCAGTGGAGTTGGCCCGGCTCAGACAGAGAGCAGGCCGGTCATGGTGTCACCGCGGTGCAGAGGCTGCAGTCTATGTCAGCGGTTTATCCGTGTGTGTGGAGTACGTCATAATCCACCCTGCCCCCACTCTGCTGTGTGGCACTGCCACCGCTACTCTGACTACAGCACCTTCTCGTGTTCGTGAAATACAGAACAGAAAGTGACACTAATTGGAGGGTCATAAACTTTAAAATAGCTCTCCATACCGAAAACTAAAACATTATCAAAAGAGACACATAAATATCATTATTGAGTTCTAAAAAGACTCAATCAGCTTCTATTGAGTTTGATTATGGAACACGCTTCCATTGAACCATGTCTGAGCTCTCCTAGCTCCTGATACAGGGTCTGAGCTCTCCTAGCTCCTGATGCTGGGTCTGAGCTCTCCTAGCTCCTGATGCTGGGTCTGAGCTCTCCTAGCTCCTGATGCTGGGTCTGAGCTCTCCTAGCTCCTGATGCTGGGTCTGAGCTCTCCTAGCTCCTGATGCTGGGTCTGAGCTCTCCTAGCTCCTGATGCAGGGTCTGAGCTCTCCTAGCTCCTGATGCAGGGTCTGAGCTCTCCTAGCTCCTGATGCTGGGTCTGAGCTCTCCTAGCTCCTGATGCTGGGTCTGAGCTCTCCTAGCTCCTGATGCTGGGTCTGAGCTCTCCTAGCTCCTGATACAGGGTCTGAGCTCTCCTAGCTCCTGATGCAGGGTCTGAGCTCTCCTAGCTCCTGATGCTGGGTCTGAGCTCTCCTAGCTCCTGATACAGGGTCTGAGCTCTCCTAGCTCCTGATACAGGGTCTGAGCTCTCCTAGCTCCTGATGCTGGGTCTGAGCTCTCCTAGCTCCTGATGCAGGGTCTGAGCTCTCCTAGCTCCTGATACAGGGTCTGAGCTCTCCTAGCTCCTGATACGGGGTCTGAGCTCTCCTAGCTCCTGATACAGGGTCTGAGCTCTCCTAGCTCCTGATGCAGGGTCTGAGCTCTCCTAGCTCTGATGCTGGTCTGAGCTCCCTAGCTCCTGATGCAGGGTCTGAGCTCTCCTAGCTCCTGATACAGGGTCTGAGCTCTCCTAGCTCCTGATAGGGTCTGAGCTCTCCTAGCTCCTGATGCTGGGTCTGAGCTCTCCTAGCTCCTGATACAGGGTCTGAGCTCTCCTAGCTCCTGATACAGGGTCTGAGCTCTCCTAGCTCCTGATACAGGGTCTGAGCTCTCCTAGCTCCTGATACAGGGTCTGAGCTCTCCTAGCTCCTGATACAGGGTCTGAGTTCTCCTAGCTCCTGATACAGGGTCTGAGTTCTCCTAGCTCCTGATGCTGGGTCTGAGCTCTCCTAGCTCCTGATACAGGGTCTGAGCTCTCCTAGCTCCTGATACAGGGTCTGAGCTCTCCTAGCTCCTGATACAGGGTCTGAGCTCTCCTAGCTCCTGATACAGGGTCTGAGCTCTCCTAGCTCCTGATACAGGGTCTGAGTTCTCCTAGCTCCTGATACAGGGTCTGAGCTCTCGTAGCTCCTGATACTGGGGGAGTATCATCAGTGACCCACAGCTTTTTTCAATATGAAATCAAATGTGTCAATGTTTATCTAATAAAGGTTGCATTCAAGAGAATAGTGTGTTCAGCCTGTCCCAGCAGCACCAGCAGCACCAGCCAAACCCAACAGCTGTGCTGTGCTCTGGGACTGTGAGGTAACGAGGGCCTGACCCTGGGAAGTGTGAACACGCTGCAGTTATCGATGAGCAGTGAGCTGTCAGTCGCCTCATGCTCACACGGCACTCTGCTGCAGCCTAAAGTCAAAGTCTGTAGAGTCTCCATCACTGCAACAGAGCCGGGCCTCACTAAAGAACTTCCAAGTGGCTGCAGGGATCTTTGAGAACGCTGCCCCCTGTCATTATGCCTTTAATGTCCCTCCGACAGCAGATTCCAGCATTTATGGTACAGGCCTATATCTGCCCATAAAGCCTTTTATTGGTAAGCTCCGCTCTATGGTGGCCGTAACCTGGTTTTCTCATTTTTTATGAGGACCTTCACTATATCACAGGGGGAGAACAAAGCTCCCCACCATCGGTGTTTACCAAAGTATGGCCTACTCATAAATCCATCATGGCCAGAGGCATTCTGGAAATACCTCAGTGGAAGAGCATGGGGGAGGAGACAGAGCTCATTGTACGGCCCGGTCGTGCACACTGGCCTTGAGTGGGAGAGCCCATCTCGCAGTGATCATTAGGTCTATGTCCTTTGCACTGAGGCCATCAGTCAGCAAATCAAGAGAAGATTGCTATGGATGTTACCCTGGAGGGAGACTATCTCAATATCATTCATCCAAGACTCAGAATGCCCCCCATTAGATGTCAGGAACAAGGGCTTTTTAGCACATATGAATGGGCACCGCTAATTCTATTAAGAAGACTAGAAGGACAAAAAGAACAAAGCACGAGGCCAGATGAGAAAAAAGGGAAAACTGACAACGATAAAACAGCTAAACATAAAAAGATTTGTAGCTGATGACTGCAGAGAGCACAGACAGTCGGGGGAGGGAGGAAGCTGGCACAAGTAGGAGTTCAGCTCCGCTCTGCCAAAACTCATTACAAACTGGCATCACTAATGAGTTTATAACTCCAGCAAGCACAATTCATCATGTTTATCCCCTACTCTTTCATTGCTCTGTCTACAGGCCTGATTACTGCCTTCAGCCTAATGTTTCAACAAAGCACATCTCACACTGCTATCCATCTCTCATTTGTGCTCAAACTTTTTTAATCTCACAATAAAAACTGACATTTCATATTTATAGTATTCTGTGCAGTCTTTCAGTTTGGTAAAGTGATGCTGCGGTGCCCGGGACGTGATGAGATGACGTGGGGAGGGGTGAAGACGTGGGGAGGGGTGGCTGGTTCGCTTTAAGTGGATTGCCCTCGTCTGGATGTGCCCAGCCCAGAGCATTATAACGCCTTCAATGGTGACCTCCACTTAAGTGGTGCCCCTCACACCGAGCACCAGTGCCTGTGTCTCAGAGGCTGTGCCATGAAGCGAGCAGAGGTGATCACTGCAGGCTGTGCTGCTTCAACAGCAAACACCCAGGCTTCTGTTTGTGCAGAAAGAACAAGATGCAAGTATCTGTTCTGCCTGGATAAAGAAATCAACAGACCACGACTAATATGAAATAGTCATGCTAGCACAAGGGCACATGGGTCAGTTTTCACATCTTCTTCTATTTTTAAGCTGCGCACAGTGTTGGCCTATGGTAAAAATAATAAATTTATTGTAGAGGGTCCAAAAGCACTACATAAGTTTGAAACATGCAGTATTATGAGTATTATTCTTATTATTACTGACAGAACCTGGTCTGTGGTCAGCCTCTTGACTGCTGTGTACTTTATCCAAACATGTTTCCATGAGTGTGGGGCACATTCCAAGAACAGAATGTCAAACATTACAGTGAGCGGCTGGTTCAAATGTTAATGAAACATGTGAAAACCCCTGCTTAGCCAGCAAGTCGCGAACTGGGGACAACAAAGGCTCCAGAGAGAGCAACAGCCTGCCACAGCTCCGAGCATGACAAATGCCTCAGCCACTGTCACTGCTGCGGCCCCTGTTGCCTCAGCTTTTCTAGCAGGCGTGGGGCGGCGAGGGGCAGCGTGGGGAGGCTGGAGAGGGGGGGTCTGCCTGCATTCAGGCCCAAGGAGCACAGCAGAAGGACGGTTAATGGAATGGATGACTCTGCCACATTCAAAGAGTGATGAGGCCGAGGGAGGAGTCGTCAGCATTTCAAATGAATCAGAGACCGTTGTAGAAGGAGCTACTGTTGCCTCTGTTAATGTCTAACACTGGAATCCACACACATTTAACATCACAGCAGATCATTTTGACCTTTTTGTTTTGCTGTGAACTGTGAATGGGTTTCATTAGACATCTGTATCACCCCTTCCCTTGAAGTATGGTTAGTAAGTAAGTCATCTTTATTTAAATTGATGCGCCTATAGAGTCACAAATCTCTTGGTACAATTGTTTTTGGCATTTGTCTCTCACTCCACAGAGATGGGAGCGAGGTCACAGTGCAGGAGGTGCAGACCTTTAGTTCATGTTAAGTTGTTAATTAGTTTTATATATATATATTTGTTTGTAGTAAATGCAACTTGGAATGGAAGAAATGGAAACCCAGTAAAAAAAACTACTACCATTCTTAGAAAATGATTACATCCCAAACCATTCCCAATCTTCTCAAACATGTGGCTGAATCTTTCTCTATTCTAGACAAAACACCGAGCTCACTACACGTCTCAACAAACAAACACAAATCACAACCACATGTCAATATTTTCTGCTAGATTACAAAAAGGATAAGCCAGATGCCATGTGTGTACCCTCAGTGCTCTCTCCTCACTCTCTCCTCCTGCAGCAGTGGTCTGTGTACGTGAAGCTGCATAACTGGACCTGAGCCAGGAGTTTGCCCACAAGCATCAGAGGAACATGTAGGTCAAAGCCTATATCACAGAACAGACTGCGATGGCACCACCGCTCGGCTCGGCTCCATCAACGCGACAGATAAGCGACCCGCCGGAGACCGCGACGCCAGGAACAGCTGTGGGAGCGGCATTTCCACGTCAGATGTGTGTCCGCCGGCATTTGGCTCATCTCAGACTGCAACCATTAAAGCAAAAACAAACACGGGTAAAAAAAAAAAAAGGGGAAGCACTTGGACGTTACAGGCGTGATCAGAAGCCAAGAGCCAGTCTGCGCACTGCAAAAAATGACTAAATATGAGGTCCTATTTGCTTGAATCGGGTGGTTTTTATCTTGATTTGAGGACATTCTTTCTTTTTTCCTTATTCCACGGGAAACATTTCTTGTAAATTTGGCCATACGCGAAAGCCAGATCCCGTCAGACCTCTGAAGCTGTGTAGGGCAGGGCCTGGTTGATACTGTGATGGGAGACTTCTGGGCAAACCAAGTGTCACAGTGGGGCAGCTGTGGCTGTAAAGTGCCAGACTGTGGTTGTGTCCTTAGGCAAGACACTTCCCCCACATTGCCTAGAATGAGTCTGGTGTGTGTGTGAATGGTTGGTGGTGGTCGGAGGGGTTATACTGGTGGTACAGACTGGTTGCCTTGCTTCTTTCATTGTGCCCCAGGGCAGCTGTGGCTACAGTAGTAGTTTATCACCATTGTGTTCGGAGTGAATGAATAATGACATGTAAAGTGTTTTTGAGTGTCCAAAAAAGCGCTGTATAAAACCAATGCACTATTATTATTCCATCCATCCATCCATCCTCTTCCCCTTAATCCATTTCTGGGTCGGGGGGGTGGCCAGTGCACAGAGCACCAGCCCCTCACTGATCCTCCTGCAGGTGGTGAGTCCACAGGAGCTGAGATCTTTCAGTGGGAGCTTCAGGCAAAGTAGGGTTAAGTGTCTTGCCTAAGGACACATCGACAGCAGTCATCAGTGGGAGTCGTGAAGTAGGTCTTACGGTGGGCTCGAACCCACGACCTTCAGGCTCAAAGGCCAATGCTCTACCAACTGAGCTACTGTCGCTCAGTTGGCGACGACAGCAAAATTATCTTGTTCATTTCATCAAGATCATTTTGCTTCGTCCCATTGGCAAATCTTGTCTTATGGCAGTCAGAATGTGCTCATTTAAGATACATTTAACCAAATCTGAACATTTTTTCACTTCATTTTCATCACTTTTTGCAGTGCATCTCTCTCTCTCTCTTTCTCTCTGCGCAGCCGTTGCTTCATAACATTACGCACGTCCGCAATGTCATCTCAAAGACAAACGGATTTACGTCAGCTTTCTGGTTTTCTGAAATTGCTTCAACTTCTCTCTGACGGGGATGTCCGGACTGTTACAACAGCCGGATCAGTTGGAATCAACAGCGTCACCGTGGCAACCAGAAGCATCTGTGTCACGGTCCCACAGAGAGAGGGGTGCCCCGTTACAACAAAAGTGAAAAGCCTGAACCATTAGTCGGCCATGTCATAGCATTCTCTGTGTGATCCAAATGCAAGGAGAAGGAGGGGTCTGGGGGGGCGGGGGGGCCGGGGGTTACATGAAAAAGACCCTGATAATATTTAACCAGCAAAAATCTATCACTCCCCCTCCACACCGCCCGCGCTTTTGTCGCCCGCCGCTCCGCCACTTGCCTTGTGTATGAACTGTGCTACACAAAAAAACTTGCCTTCAATATTGTTCCGCCCCAACATTAGTTCTCCCGCATGCGTTTGTAATGTGTCAAAGCAAACAAAAACAGGGAGAAGTCTGGGTTTTGGAATCTCCTGAAGCGGCTCCTGACCCTGTCGACTTCTCCGCGCAGTTAGAAACCAAAAAGAAAAAAGTCGGCCTCGTCTGCAGAGAAATTCGCGGATCCTTTTAAAACTCTCTTTGTTTGCAGCTAAGACTAAAACTGAGCTCCCCGACAGAATGACGGAGCGCTTGCCATGTCTTTTTCTTCTCTCTCGAGCTTTCACTGCCTTGAAAAACCACAAGAAAAGTAAAAGAGTTGGAACATAGTTGTTAAATCTGACACATTTTGACACTTTCTTAGCGTCTACTTTACTCTATACTTTCTCACTATCCCTGAATACAAAATAAATGTTTACAAATGTACACGTTTTGGTATATTTTCGGTAGAACCTCTGTCGCTGATGTCAAACCCGAGGCCCCCGGGTCAAATGCGGCCCTCTGACCATTTTCAGCGGCCCTGGAAATCACTTGTATCTATTTCTACTAACTTGTGGCATTGATGGTGCTGTTACTATGAGCAACCATGATGTGTTATACCTCAATTTAAAGATAATATTCTCAAGAAATTATTGATTCAAAAATATAAATCATTGGTCAATCCAAGTTTGATCCATTTTTGGTTCAGTCCAAACACACAGTGACTGAACTAGTTACTGTGGTACTGGGCTTCACGGTGGCGCAGTGGTTAGCACTTGTACTTCCTGGGTTGGATCCCGCCTCCAGGCCTTTCTGTGTGGAGTTTGTATCTTACCCCCGTGTCTGTGTAGGTTTCCTCCAGGTGCTCCGGTTTCCCCTGCCACTAAAAACATGTATAACAGGTATGAATGTAATGAGCGAGTGAACGGACGGTGATGATCAAGGGCTTTGACGTTAGTGTGGTCGGGAGAGTGTGAAGAGATGGGACAAAAATCGGTAAAAAAAGAAAAAAAAATCACTACTCCAAATTGTAAAATGCTTTGTGTGACCTTGTTCTGTGAAATGCGCAAAAAAAACACTAACTTACTTGCTAACTAGTTTTGTTTGGAAAGATCTACCAGAAAATAATGTCAAACTCAGATGAAAATGAAATTAATCTTTGTCAAAATACCTTCATTATGTAAAAAAATCCATTTATAAATATCCACATAGATGAGCTTCAAACACTTTTTTACTTTTAGCCTCAGGAGTTATTATTGTTTCACACCAGCCCTCGACTAAAATCAGTTCGTTTTCCCCTTTGCTGGTTATTCCTGGTCACATGGAGCAGCTGCAGTCTGGTTGGCGATAGAAAGCCCTTTGCAACCACACAATCACATGCATAGAACATACTTGTTTTGACGGAACCACAGAAGCAAATGAACAGTTCAATCTTTGCTAAAAAACGATTGCGTCGGGACCTGTTGAAAATGTGCTTTGTGAACTGTATTCTAACTATGACCATAAATCACACCTCAAATCACAATCTTCCATTAACTCATTGACTGCCATTGACGTGTTTGTCTTGGTGATTTCTGTCAAACCTCCCCGCATTCGACTTGGGATTACAGGAGAACAAAACAAGCTAGAAACCAACTTATTTTTGCTGATGAAAGTAGACAGTTCAGTCTTTCAGAATCTGTTTTTACATTTCACATAGTCATAGCACATAATATTCTGTGGATCTTGAAAGTCAGCGAAATCATCAAAAACCGCTGGCCGTAAATTAGTTAATCGCAAAAACACAACACAAAGCCGAGCCCCTCAAAGCGCTGCCGAGACGGGAACGTGAAGTTATGAAGTTACCAAATATGTTGCTGTCATCATTTTCACTCGACAACATAGTGACACTGGGCGTTGAAGAAAGAAGTTTGTGGTTAAACATTTCGTCACATGCTAACGGTGCACTTCTACAGAGTAATGAGGTTTGATGTACCCAGTGTAGAACCGGCGAGGTCAAAACAACCTTGTGGCCAGCTTTTCACGCAGCTGCAGACCCGTGTTTTTTGACCTGTGTTGAAATGCAGCGTCGGCGTGGTAAAGGTGGGCGTGTTGTTTGGACCCGTGTCAAATTTTCACCACAGGGCAAGTCAAAAGAAACGCCACAGAAAGTCGCAGCGCAGTGCACCCAGGAGTCCAAGGAATTGTACTTTAATGAACTACAACAAGCCTAATATTACCTGCAATACTTACTTTTTTTACCCATTTTTATGAGGATAACAAAATAATAATAATAATAACTAAGCATTGGTTTTATATCGAGATTTTTTGAACTCTCAAAGATGCATTACATGTCATCATTCATTCCCTCCGTAACTGAGATAAAGGAAAAATCCCAAACTCTCAGTAGTGTAAGAGTTTTATCGGCTTGTTGGGCTGTCATTATGCAACTCGGCAAAAAGACTAGTTCAAAAGGCGGGTCAAATGCAGAGTCGTTTTGACACACCAGCCCAGGAGGAAGAGGTGCCCCAGGATTGTAGGGCTAAAGGCCTGCATAGAAATGAGAAAATATGAGGTAATAATTTCCAGAATTTAGTGTTTTT